ATAGGGGACAAAGCCCCAAATTTGGAGTCAAAAGACCAGGGTTCCATTTCTGGCTCTGCTATTTACTACCTGTGCATACTACCTTACATAAGTAGTTTCCCCTTTTGGGGCCTTAGTTTCCTCCTCTGGAAAATGGGTTCATTAACATGAGCACAGCCTATTTCACAGGATTCTTTGTATTCTTAGCAGAGAGCCTGGCATATAATAAAAACACTTAACAAACATTTGTTGGTTGATCATAAGCTCTAAAAGGGCTGGAGAAACATCATCCTTGTGGTTAGTGATCTGTGTGGAGGTATGTGAGAGTGAGCAGGGTTGTGGACATTGTAAGACACCTCTTTGCCTAGCACCCTGCACAAAATGTTCTTTCATGAAGTTAAACGCCAAGTGTCCAGCAGGCCACTGAACGTGCCTTTCATGAAGGCTCCACTTTGGCCCAGGAAGACTCTTTCACTTAGGGTGCCTGAGCTGGCCGCATGAAACCACTCCCTCTGCCCGTGAGTGCCCTTGGGATCTAGTCACGCAGCAATGCCCTGTTTTCTGCCTCACCCTGTGTGAGTTAGACTTGTGTTTCTGCCCAGGGCCTCTGTACCACCACAGGGGCATAAAGATTCTCTGTTCGTGGCATCCCTGGAATGCCAAAGAAGTCACAGCTGACGTGAGCATGGAGCTTTCCAGCCCAGGAACTGCCCCCTTGGTCCCTGAGGCCCCTCAGTTCCTGAACGGGTCATTCTTGTTCTCCCCTGAGGTGGGGTCAAAATTAGTGCTCAACTGCCCTTTCCGTGTACCAGAGAATATGCTTAGAGGGCCAGGAGATCAAGCCCTTCTTCTGCAAGGCAACATGCTCTTTAGAGCACGTAAGCATCTCTGAAAAGACCCAAACCCAAATATCCAGGGACAGCACGTCAGGCTTGACAGGGAACTGGAAGAGCCCCTGGAAGTTTAAGACATAATCTGGGGAGATAGGGGTGGAGCAGACCCTGGCCTTACTCTTAGGGAGCTCCCTGTCTGATGGGGGAGATGAGATTTACACATGGAAAGTTTGATAACAATGTCAGGCAGCTCACATTAATAAAGCTTGTTGTTTAGTCATTCAGTTGTGTCTAATTCTTTGTGAGCGCATGGACCACAGCACGCCAGGCCCTTCTGTCCTCTACTACCTCTCAAAGTCTCTCCAAGCTCATGTTTGTTGCTTCCGTGACACCATCTATCCATCTCAACTTCTGCCATCCCCTTTGCTTTTTGCCTTCAACCTTTCCCAAAATGAGGGTCTTTCCCAATGAGTCCTATGTTGTCATCATGTGGCTTCAGCTTCAGTATTTGTCCTTCCAATGAATAGTCAGTTAATTTCTTTAAGTATCGACTTATTTGTTCTTAAGGTTTATGAAGCACTTAATTTATATTATCTCCAGTTATCCTCAAAAGAGCCTATACCTCATAAGAGGTAGGTAGTGTAGCTTCAATTATTCCCATTTTACAGATCAGAAACCTGAGGGTCAGAAACATAAACAGATTTGCCCAAAATAACACAGCCAGTAAGTGGCCAAAGGGAATTTATGTTCTTTGACTCTAATTCCTGAACTCTTTCTGCTCCTTCAGGGTGCTGTTGTGGGTGATAAGTACCTAATGAATACCCAAAGGTTCTAGGAACTCACAGAAGGAAATATCCAGCTGGGTTTTCTCCTCTAAGGAATGCTTTCTGAAGTAGCTGGACCTTGAAAGCTAGGTAGGGTTTGGAAGGACTAAGAGGAGAGGGGAGCAGCTTCAAGGGGTAAGAGGTAGATGCCATGTAGGCAAAAGTAAGAATGAGCAATGGATGTAAGGACGCCACCAGTCAAGTAGGTCAGAGCCTGAAGATCCATGCTCTCATTGCTGAGAGAAACTGTTTGGGGTGATTGGGGACATACCTAACCTTTGAGGTAACATGTATGGTTAAGATGGCTCCAGGAAAGGTCAAGGAGGATCCCAGCTCTCACCACATATACTGTAGCAAAGATCTAAAAATAGCACCAGACCAAATAATGAACAAGAAACCCAAAGAGAAACTACAGTAAGTGCCTTTATTTAATCTAATGCTGCATAAAAATGAAAGTCAAAAGTTTCCAAGACCCTTCTGGCAGTGAAGTCAGCCAACACTTGTACAAGAGACATTTCAGGGGCATCTGAAGCATCTAATGATCTATACCAAAGGAAAGGAAGTCTGGAGTGAGCTCTAGAGGAAAGAATTGAAAGAAGGAAAAATAGCTTAGAACAGAAGTTGGGAAATCTCCACTAAGTAACACACTTCCTGAAAACTAGAATAGAGTAAACAGAATTTAATGACTCCATGAGGCAACAAGAAATACTAGAACAAACTCAAAAGATTGGGAAAAAAAATGAAAAGGTGAGGCATCTGCTTTCAAAAACAACTTTGCTAAAAAGGAAGTCCAAGAGATATCATTTGAGAATCAATGGCCCAAATAAAAAGGACTGCAAGCAGCCAGAAAATTCAACTACCAGGCGACCACATTTAAGATTACACAAGCTAGGTTCTACAATTTATGAAGAGAAAATCTTGGAAAACATTATTCCAAAAAGCAAAAGATAAAAGCTTACAACTAAGAATAATTTGTTCTTCCTACAGATGGAAAATGGATTTTAATGAAATAGTCTTTCAAGTATTCCTGGCAGAAAGATCAGAACTAGGTAGATATTTTGAAATGCAAATAGAGGAGAAAGGTAAATACAGTTGAGCAACTGGAAGATGCTAAACAATGATGAAGTGTTTACATTCTAATGGGAAACAAGATTCAAGTGTCTCTTCAGAATTCCAATGTTTTCAAGGGTCTCGGAGGGAGTTACATGAAACAGAGAAGTTGGAGTGGTATTGTTCTATTTTGATGGTCTTAAGAAAGGAAAGAAAAGGATGAGGGAAAGAAATACACTAAAAAAAAAGGAGAAAGAAAGAAGTACAACTTATGATTTCTCATAACAGAGGTGCTTGAGAAGAACATACAAACGGGGTGAGGAGAGCAGGCATCTTATGAACATCACTTTGAATGAGACAAAAGAGTATTGAACATATATATATCTACACATTTTGTGTGTGTGTGTGTGTGTGTGTGTGTGTGTGTGTACTAAGATGAAGTATGGTGCAAAAAATGCATTGACTTCAACAGAGAAAGAGATGGAGAAAGAGAGGGAGAGGTTTCAGGGTGATGATAGAGTTGAGGAAGGAAGAGTCATAAGCAAAACAAGCCAGCTTCCAAAGGTGGATCATAAAGGGAGAATTAAAAGGAAAGAAAAGGTAAGAACCAGTGATTGGGATCTGGGCAATAGGAAGAGAGGTAGAACACTGGTACTGAAGAGATCGTTGCAATTAGACATCATTGGTATAGATCACATTCCTTCTCTTTCATCATCCTCTTTTTGTAAAGAGGGATTGGGGAGAGTCAAAGAGAAGAAAACATATAAAAAGATATGATGGAGGAAAATTCAGAATTAAAAATCATATCCATGAATGTAAATGGAATGAACTCACCCATAAAATGTCAGAGGATAGCAGAATAAATTAGAAAATAGAATCCAAAAATATGTTGTTTATAATAAACACACTTAAAGCATAAAGATTCACACAGTTATAACAAATGAGAACAAGAAGAAAAATTTATACAATGACAATGCTGCTGTAAAGAAAAACTTTGAAAAACTTAAGAACTATGATCAATATAATGATCAACCACAACTCCAAAGGACTAATGATGATACATGCTACCCACCTTCTGAAAGAAGTGATGGACTAGACATAAAGTATGAGGCATACCTTTTCAAATATTGCCACAGTGTGTGTGGAATTGTTTTACTTGACTGTTTATTTGTTAGAAGGGAAGGGTTGTGGGGGGAGGAGAACTGGAGAAGAAAGGGAAACTAGTGGTAGTGATGCCAAAAAAAGAAAAAGAGAAAAAAAAAGAGGGTCATTGAGGCACTTGAAAAGAAGAGTTCAGGGGCAGCTAGGTGGCTCAGTGGATAGAGCACCAGCCCTGAAATCAGGAGGACCTGAGTTCAAATCCAGCCTTAGACCAAACACTTGACACTTACCACTTACTAGCTGTGTGACCCTAGGCAAATCACTTAACCCCAATTGCCTAAAAAAAAAAAAAAGAGTACAGACAGTTCAAAGGGAAACAAAGATAAACAGGACAGCTTTGAAACTAACATGTTGAATTTTTAATGCAAGCTATACATAATAGAGATTTGTGATTTCATACACAATTCTATTTTCCTGTTCTTGTTCATGTATGTCAATGTTCATGTTCATTGGTGTTTGTCAAATTCAAAATAACAAAAAATAAATAAATAAAAATTAGGGGGGAAATATCCTTTGAGGTTAGATCAGAGAGGATAACTTTTCCCAAACCTTCCTTGGGGCATGGATCAGAGACAGAATGCTGGAGCAGGGAGGTTGACCCTTGAGAGAAGGAATTGAATATTTTTGTAGTCATCTGTTAATCCCAACATCTCTGTACCTCTGAAATACCAGGGCTCTCCTGCCACCAAGCCTTTGCTCACACTGTTTCCTAGGCCTGAATGCCTTCGCTCCTCCTCTTCACCTGCCAAATTCCTACCCATCTTTTGTAGGGATTGTCCTCCTCTTTTAAGAGTCTGATATTCTTATCATACAATAATGTATATTAAAGTTTTCTGTGTTCATATCTCATTCCCCTCCCTGTGAGTTCCCACCATAAGGCCATAAACTGTCTTTTCTGAACCTTGTATCCCACATTGCCCCAAACAGTGTTTTCTGCACATAGTAGGTGCTCAATTTACTAAGTGTTATCTCACATTTCCATAGCCCTCACAACTCTGTGAGGCAACTAACACTATCTATTAATATTAATCAATCACTTTGTAATGCTAATTAATTAGCCAATGATGTTAATTAATATTAACAAGCTATTAATATTATTACCACCAATTGCCTATTAATGTTAATTAATACCCCCTTTTATAGATGAGGGAACTAAAGTTCAGACAAATTAATTTCCTTATTTATAATCACACACAACTAGAAAGTACAGAAGCCAGGCCTTGAACTTGAAGCTTCTGAATCTGAATACAGTGCTTTTTCTATGAAATCACAATGTTTCTCTGAATGAGTGAACAAATGAATGAATGAATGAATGAGGCAAACCTCTTTCTGTGTCCTCTTCTCTCTAAAAACAGGGTAATGCCTTCCTCTGGTATGAACTGATGCATCAGTTTGTTGTAAAGGCAGAATGAAGAGAAAATAAAATAGGGAGGTTCTGGGTTCTGATCTTGGCCCTGACACTTATTACCTGTGTGACCCTGGGAAATTCACTTAATAACTAAGGGACCTCAGTTTCTTCATTTGTCAAATGAGAGGGTTGGACAGAGTGCACAGAGCACTAGACCTGGAATCAGGAGGAAATGAGCTCATGTCCTACCTCTGCAACTCTGGACAAGTCATCTCATTGCTCTGTGCCTCAGTTTCCTCATACATAAAATTAAGGGACTGTACTCTAGGGCTCCTTCCTTGCTCTCTAAGTCTCTGATTCTGTGATTCAGTAAACTTCTCTGTTTCCCTCAGTTCCCCCACCTGTAAAATAAACGAGGAGGTTGACCTGGAGGATTTCTAAGAGCACTCACAGTACTCAATCCTATCACAATCTCTGTGTTCGGTTCTAATTTGATGGGAACCAAGGTGAACTTTAATTGCTGAGAGAAGGACCTGTGGGTCCCACTTAGACTCATCATGGGTCTGTTTGGAACAAGATTGCTCTTGTTTGCCCAGTGCAGAACGTGCTTGAGGCGTGGAAGCAGGAAACACTCAATAGCTTTTTGAAAGCCTAGAGTATTGAATCATCCCTGACGAACAGCATTTGAGGGTTTATGTCAGGACGAATGAGCCAAAACATGTTGATTCAATTTCCATCAGGTTATACCCACTTCCAAAACTGGCTGTGTAAAGTTCATGGTGAAATATATTTGGGGGATTCAGTTGCACCAACGCCATCACTGTAATGAATTGAGTCGGGGTGGGGGAAGGAGGATGAGTCATTCAGCTGCTGCTTAGCCAACCTTGGCTCTAAGTAGCCCATCAATAACAAAAGCTGGAGGTGGGTCAACCAAGGTGGGTGCCCCTAGCTGAAGAGCACAGTACCTGCTGCTGATGGAACATGTCTGTTGGAACTGGAGGCAGAAAGGGAAGAGGCACGTGGTAGGTCTCCTCTCCAGACTTCCCAATCTGTCTGCTTCCGGAGCATGACTTTCACATAATAGTATGTCTCTCCATGTGGTACAGCAGGGTAAGGTTCAGACTGGAGGTTAGTTCTTGGTCACCAGGCAGGAAGAAAGTCAGAATCTCCTGGTGTTGTGTATAGAGCAGTGGAGTCCAGAGTCAGTGGATCTGGGTTTGAATCCTGCCTCTACTCTTTATGACATATGTGACTTTGAGCAAGTCATTTCCCTTCTCTGGGCCTCCGTTTCTTCTGTAAAGTGAGAGGATTCAACCAGATGATCACCAAGTTTTCTCCAAGTTCAAACATCCAGTAATTCTGTAAGACTGTGATCTCACCTGAAAAGCTTACCATGCTTGCTTTGGCAGCACATACACTAAAATTGAAAGGACAGAGAGAAGATTAGCATGGCCCCTGTACAAGAATAACACACAAACTTGGGAAGTGTTCCGTGTTTTTACATCTCAAGGAAGCCATTGATAGGAAGAAAGTCCCCATATGCTCCAAAATATTCCTAACAGCACCTTTGGAGGAAGAAGAAGAGAAAGAGTGGGAGGAGGATAAGTAAAGAGAAGAGGAGGAGAAAGAAGAGAAGGAAGAGGAAAAGGAAGAAGAGGAAGAAAAAGAGGAGCAGGAGGAAGAGGAAAAGGAAGAAGAAGAGTGAGGAGGAGAGGAAAAGGAAGAGAAAGAGTGAGGAGGAGGAGGAAGAGAAGGAAGAGGAAAAGGAAGAAGAGGAAGAAAAAGAGGAGGAAAAAGAAGAGGAGGAGGAAAAGGAGGAAGAAGAAGCGCAGGAGGAAGAGGAAAAGAAAGAAGAAGCGGAAGGAGAAGCAGCAGCAGCAGCAGAAGGAGAAGGAGGAAGAGGAGGAGACCATCAGCGTCAAATGGGAAACTCTAGAGAAACATACAATACCTATACCATGAGAATGTATTTCCAACATTTTTCTCCTGGGTCGTATATACGGTACCCTCCAAAAGTCCCTAAAGACCTTCATTTTTCTCTTCCCCTAACTCCTAACCTCACCTTTTTTCTGATTCTTGTTCTTACTCCTCAGCTTTTAGCAGTCACATATCTGCTCAAAATCCTTCATTAGATTCCCATTACCTACTGGATAAAATACACACTTCTTAAACTGCCCTGCAGAAAGTTGTCTCCAATCTACCTTTTCAGCCTTATTGCACATGCCTGCCCTCCATGCATTTTACAATGCAGACAAATAGCTTTTTGGGGTTCCCTGATAACACTCTGTCTTTTCTTACCTCTGTGCATTCATGGAGGTTACTCCCTATGCTTGGAACCCATTCCTTCTTCATCTCAGAAGGATGAAATTCTTCAAGGCTTCTCCCTCTACTCTGAAGTCTTTCCTGATATCTGAAGCTGAAAGTGGTCTCTAAGTCCTCAAAGTGGTTTCCAGCACTTGTTGGCATCTCTCTTTTGCCCAAGTTGCATGCTCCCTTGTGTCATCATTATTTGTGCACACATCACACCCCACTGTGGCTGTCAGGAAGTTTTAAAAAAGAAAGTTCTTGTCACTGAGGCCCTTGGCACTGTCAGATGATTCAACATCAGAAATGGTTAAGGTTTTTATCACTGGAAATAGCATTAGAGAAGATGCACTGCTGTCTGCTTTGCTGTGGCCCCCTGAGGGCTATGAGGGCTTTCCATCTGATTTGCAACTGAACCCTCTTGTATGTCTTCTATTCAATTACATTCATATACCATAATTTGTTCAGTCACTCCCCAAATTATGGGCATTCCTTTCATCTCCAGTTCTTTATCACCAAAAAAGAGCTGCTATAAATATTTTTGTACATATGGATCCTTTTCCTCTTTCTTTGATCTCTTTAGGGTATAGACCTAGTACTAACATTACTGTGTCAAAGGGTATGCATAGTTTAGTAACTTTGAGTTCATAGTTCCAAATTGCTTTCCAGAATGTCTAGACCAATTCACAGCTTCATCAACAGTGCATCATTGTTCCTTTGTTCCCACGGCCCTTTAACATTTGTCATTTTCTTTCTTCTTCTTGTCAATTTTGCCAATCTGATGGACATGAAGGAGAACCTCAGAATTTCTTTAATATGTATTTTTCTAATTATTAGTGATTTAGAGCATTATTAATGGCTTGGATTTCTTCCTTAGAAAACTACCTATTCATATCCTCACCTTTATTTCTAAATATATCCTTTCTGTCTTCCATCCCTAGAACCACCCCAACAAAAAAGGAAAACTAAAGGGAGTAAAAGCAGTTCAGCAAAGCTAACCAGCACAACAAAGTCTAATGGCATATGCAATGTTCCACTGCCATGGTGTCTCACCTCTGCAAAGGACAAAGGGAAAGTACAGCATGTTACTTTCATAATGTCTACAAGGGAATTATTGAGAAGACATAGAAAGAACAGAAGTACAAAAACATCCCCCAAAACTGGGACACACCCTACCCACTACTACCCTGATCCCTAGGGAGAATCGACTCAAAGGACTGCTCATTATTCCTTCTACCAAGTTCACTTCTGAATGAGTCTCTCCCTTGTACATATGTCTTTATCCCCATTATATAGATGAGAAAACTAGGGATCAGAGAAATAAAGTGATCTACTTAAGAACATACACTAATTTGAGCTTATATAGGAGTCAAGGTGGAGGAATGATGGACAGGTAGAACGGAGGGAAGGAATGAAATAACAAAATATTAAGCAATTTGGATCATTTTTGTCACTTGTGAGGAAGGACACTGTACAAATCCAAGGTTTCCTTGTGGTATCATTCCTTTGTAGAAAGGATAGAATTAGCTAGGATTTAGCACTGGGAGATTCAGCACTGGCAGGATTTAGATTTTTTGAAGATATTTCCTTTAATATTGGGGCCCCTTCTCGTAATAGTGGAACATCAGAAATGAAATAGCCTCCAGAGATCATATTGTCTACCCTTTTCGTTTCACAAAGGAGGAAACTGAGTCCCAGAGAAGGAAGAGACAGAGCTAGGTCTCCCTTGCTCCAGGAAGCTGGTACAATAGTCACCTGGTCTTTTTCATTCTTCCTCCTATAAAGCAAGAGATATCAATACTAAAAAGAAATAGTATTAAAACATCATGAATTAAGATTCCACTCATCTCTGAGTGGAAACAAGATTAGGAAAGTAAACCTTTTAAGGAATTAGGACGTCATCTTTATGTGTACTCCCCTCCACACATTAGGAGGTTGTCTTTATGAGTTATTCAAAAGACTCAATACCAACATGGTAGGACCATAATAATAACAATAACAATGATAATAATAATAATAACCTTTGGAAGAGAACACTGGGCAAGGGTAAGACCAGCCTTCACTGAACCAATCTCATCTTTCCTCCATCCCCACCCCCCCATCATGACCCTGGAAGGGAAGACATGAGACCCCCAGCCCCACTTCCACCCCATTCCCTGAAATTCCAACCAACAGCCTTGGTTTGAATGGATCTGTCTTTGTTGAAAAGCAGATGAAAAATGGTGGGAAGGTGGCAGGACAATAGAAGGGGGAATGTGGATGAAGCCATCCATCTTCTTTCTCTGGTGCGTTTTAATTAAACTACAGGGGAGGGAGGAGGGCACCCTATCCCAGTGATTAGTTATGAGGTTGGGAGAACCCTAACTGACCTGAAGATAGGAAGGAAAAGCTTCTGTGTGAAGAAGAATGAAGAGGATTGTGTGCAGCCAGGCACGGTGGAAGATGCCAAATGTGTGGTTTTAGAGTAAATGCCAGTTTCTGAGGGCTTCACGCCAACCCCTGACGTAGCTGTGGTTTCTCCCTTGTTTTTCCCCCTCACCTTCTCTTCACATCCGGAACAGTTTCCTGTTTGATAGCTCCATCTCCTTCCCTGGGGCAGCCTTCTCTAGGTCTCAAGGCCCCTTGCCCTCTCTTGGCCTGGAACACTTACATCATGACTCCTTCTAGAGGCTGCTGGTTGTCATGGTGGATAGAGTTCTAGGTATGGAGTCAGGAACACCTGAGTTCGAATCTGACCTCAAACACTTACTAGCTGTGTGGCCCTGGGCAAGTCATTTAATCCTGTTTGCCTCAGTTTCCTCATCTGTAAAATGAGTTAGAGAAGAAAATGGCAAACCACTCCAGTATTTTTGCCAAGAAAACCCTAAATGGGGTCACAAAGAGTCAGACAGGACTGAAATGACTCAACAACAACAGAATGGAGATAGCCATCCCTGAGCCTCTGGGGATGTTGAGAGAGGGCTATTGTGAGAAGAGTTTTGTAAACCTTAAGACACTACAGAAATGGGAGCTATTAACTACTTCAACTTGAACGAGTCACTTAACTTTTCTGAGCGTCAGTTTCTTCCTCTGTAAAACGGGCATAACAATATTTTCATAGCTTACCTCACAGGGTTGTTGTAAGGAAAATACTTTGTAAACTGCGAAGCTTGTAGATATGCAGATTATTATTTCACTCTCCTGTATCAGTGAAGAGATTAAACAGAATTAGTGCTCTAAGGAGAAAAAATAGAAAGAAATGGGAGCTAGTATTGCTATTATATTATTTCTTCACTAACTATCTCTTCCGTGCCAAACTGTGACATGGAAGAGATGCTAGCTCCAGAAGGATCAGATAATCCTAGCTCTAAAGCTCGGAAAAAACCTCAGAGTCCAGTTCAGTTCATGGATAGACTGTAAGCTCCCTGAGGGCAGGAGCTGGGCCTTAGTCATCTTCAACTCTGTCCCCAGGAGATACTCAAGAAATATTTGATAAACGAATGAACCAGCAAATGAGTGAACACCAATGAGATAGGATCAAAAGTGCATTGCCAAAAAAACAAACCTGCCAACACAGCCAGGAATGAGGTCAGTCCAGTACATATTGAAAGCCCACTGAAAATCTCCAGTGTAGAGAGATTCTTCCACCCCTCAGTGAGCACCAGGGAGATCCAGAAGCTGGGGGATATCCAGGTTGACTTTGGCGAACTGATCCTAGAGAAAAGCCTTGGGAAAAACTTGCTAATCCCAAAGGGAGAATCACCCCATAAAAATGGAGTCTCATGCATCTGGTGCCCTGGCTCTAAAGATGTACTAATCTTTCCCACCATATTAACCTGAGAAATATCTGGGAGCTCCAAAGCAGCCCTGGCCAGTCCTAATACAGGTGCTAGAATGTAAGCCCTATGAGACAAAGTCAGGAAATATGCCATTTCTATGAGGGATTTTATTTCAGGACCTGGAAGATGGAAAAAATTGGGAGTCAGGAAACCTGGGGTCTAATACTGATGTTACCTTGCTGTGTGATTTTGGACAACTCACCTCCTTTCCCTGTACCTTTACGTCCTTCCCTGTAAAATGGTGATAGCAACACCTATTTTACCAATCACAAAAGGATGTCCTAAGGTTCAAATAAAAATTGTAGGATATCAGAACTGAGAGGGCCCACAGAACAAAATTTTCAGAGCTAGGATCCAAATTCAGGATGCAAAATGTCAGAACTGAAAGGGATCTTCCAGCTCTCTTTCTTTTCATTAATTGTATCCTCAGCCCTTAGCACAGTTCATGGCACATAGCAGGTGCTTAACAAATGTTTATTGGATTATTGGATTGGATTGGACCTGAGAATATAGACTGGCAGAGATGAAGGGGACCTTAGAACATAAAATGTCAGAGCTGGAGGGGACCTTAGAATGTTAGAACTCAGAAATCACTTCATCTTACCCTCTAAATTTACAGACATGGAAGCTAAGACCCAGATTAGGGAAGAATCCTGTCCAAAGTCACGAGGCATGGTAGTGGCAGACTTGTCACAATGTGCTTTTTCTGGATACCAGACTACCTTTCTATAAGCTTCCTGAGAAGTTAAAAGTGCTTTACAGAAAGGCAACCTGATGTCGTTTTTTAAAAGCACTAGGCTTAGAGTTGGGGCAGCTGGGTGGTACAGCGAATAGAGCGCTGGACCTACAGTCAGGGAGACTCTTTTTTGTGGGTTCAAATATAGCCTCAGACCCTTACTAGCTGTATGACCCTGGGCAAGTCACTTCACCCTGTTTGCCTCAGTTTTCTCACCTGTGAAATGATCCGGAGAAGGAAATGGCCAACCACTCCAATGTCTCTGCCAAGAAAACCCCAAATGGGGTCACTAAGAGTCAGACACGACTGAAATCCGACAACAACAAAGGTTTGGAGTTAGGGCAGCCTGGATTCAAATCCCAACTCCTATACTTATTAGCTGTCAGACATTGGACAAGTCACTTTTACCCTATGAACCTCCATATCTTCATTTGTGAAATGGGTGCAATTTCTTACGCTGCTTCACAGAGCTATTTCAAGGTCAACACTCTGCAAAGCTTAATGTGCTTATAAAATGAGAGCTATTTTCATTATTACAAGTGTAAAAGATTACTGCCACCATTTTGTTGGCTCTCTTGGTCACTTACAGTGGGCTTACGGCTTTCTGGGAGGAGAGAAGACACTGCCTAAAGAAGGATGAGAATGCTAACTGGGCTGGCATTACCAGCCTAAACTCAGGCCGGGAAGAAGCCTTATGTAGCAAGTATGCTTTGGTTCTTTCTCCTAGAGTCAGGCTCTTACATGTCCACATTCAAAAAGGGGTTCTAGGCTACACTGAGGGGTGTGTCAGTGTCTCATCTCTACTATCATCAGCTCAAGGCCGCATCAGCTTTATTGCCCCCACTCTTAAGTTCCATTGACTAACAATCCAGTTCCATTTAACTACTCGACATCAATTAGCTTTTAAGATACTTTGAAGATGTAATAAGAACTACAAATATTTTCCCCAACATCTTAGGAACACACTCTTAGCTCAGTTTCTAGGTAGCATTGGTGCCATCAAGTTCATGTCCAAATGTGGTATGACTGTCAGAGCAGTGCTCATCGTAGTTATCACTAGTCCAAGGTCACTCTTAAAGGCCATCCCTTGTTCCTCAGGACATCAAAGCCATGATAGTTGCAAAACTCAGAACCTAGAATGCCAGGGCCAGGATGTCCTCCTGACCTTTCAAAACCCACAAGATCAAAGGCTCCAATCTCTTCATCCAAAGCAGAAAAAGACAGAAGTCAAATCCAAAGATGTGGGTCCTTTCATGAAGGCCACATGGCCTCAGAGGAGTCCCATACAGTCCTGTCTTTCATCAGATGCCATGAGCATAGGAGCCACAGAGATTACTCAAGGTGTTTAGGCCAAGAAGACTGGACAAAAATGGCTGACTCCAGTCTTTTAAATACTATCTCCAGTTCTAGCTATAGAGCCAATTGAAAAAACCTCCTCCTAATCACGTGGTTAGCAGACCAGAAGCAGCTATAGGACGTCCATTCATGCTCCACATTCTCCAATGTCTGTCTTTGTAACCCTATGCACCCAAAATCCAAATGTGGTTCTGGGGTCTATGTCACCACTAACTCCCTGGATCATTAGTGAATCCATAGCTTGTCCCTGTGTGGATAGTTCTAGCTCCAGCTCTAAGGTTTCAGCCTTTAACTGATGGCTGCTGTCCTCTTTTACCATATTTTTCAAATCCTTCCAAAGCCACATGGTTTCACCAGTGTAGGGGCTGCCTCTACCCTAACAGAATGCAACACCTTCATGTCGTTGTGAGTTACTGTGAACAAAAAAGGATTTTTCATGCAAGATGGCAAATACACATTTTACTTTTTAAAGACTATTTCCTCATCTGCAAAATGGGAATAAATATTTGTGCAATGCATAGTTCTCAGGGCAATTGTGGAAAAAAAGGAACTATAGAAGTGGTATTTCACAATACATAAGGGATCCATGATGTCTTTGATTCAGTCAATCAATTTCTTCAGTCATTCCTGCTGAGAAACCCTGAATGGGCCTTTAACACCCTGAATAGGTATTTAGTCACACCCTCTGCTGCCTGGAATTCTACCCATCAGACCAATGCTGTTCTCTAGCTAATGATTCCTTAGCCCAGAGCTGCTCTCCCACCTCTTCATCGACCCACCCAGCCACGCCACAGCTAGCGTATCCATATTTAGCTGTCCTATTTTAGGAAGGACACCAGCAATCTGGAGTATCCAGAAGAGGACACCCAGGACAGTGAAAGACCTAAAAGTCACATTATAGTACAGTTGATATAAGGGACCTTTTGTTATCAGTTATGTCTGACTCTTTGTAACCCCATTTGGGTTTGTTGGGGGGTTTTTTGTTTTTTTTTTTTGGCAAAGATACTGGAGTGGTTTGCCATTTCCTTCTCTAGCTCATTTTGCAGATGAGGAAACTGAGGCAAACAGAGTTAAGTGACTTGCAGAGAGTCACACAGCTTGGAAGTGTCTAAGGCCAGATTTGAACTCATGAAGAGAATCTTCCTGACTTCAACCCTGACTCTATTCACTGCGCCACCTAGCTGCACATGCTAGTTCCTGCCTTACATCATATCAGGGAAGCCAACCAGTACATACATATGCAGAAACAAAACAAAACCAAAAAAAAAAATTTTTTTTGTTTTTTCACCTAAATCTGTGATTTCATCAGCACAGGGAGTTCCAGAGAGGAACCGTCTCTAATAATACAGATGAGCAACTTTTCTGTCTTAGTGCAGGGACCGAAGTCCTGGAGATAGATTTCAGAGACTCCATGAACTTGGATTGGTAAAAAATGACATCTTTGTTTCCAGATGACTGGTTTGCTTATACACATTTTTCTTTATTCATTTAAAGCTATGGTTCTGAGATGGGGTCCTTGGGTTTTACCAGATTGCCAAAGGGGTCCTTGATTGAAAAAAAAAGTGTTAAAGCCCCCGATCTAGAGGGTTACCTGAGGCCCCAAGGCGCTAAGTGGCTCAGGGTCATATAGCCAATAGATGTGATATGCAACCTGACTCCATGGCCAGCACTGTATCCATTATGCCACACTGCCAAAAGAAGTACACCATAATTTGGGGCAGGGGGCGGCACCATCTGGCCTTCATGGAGAAGATGATGTTTGAAGGGAGCCTTGAAGGAAGCCAAGGATTCTAAGAGGTGAGAAGGGAATGGATTCCAGGCGTGGTGAATGGCCAGTGCAAAGCCATGGAGACTAAAGATAGAGCGCCATATTGGAGAAACAGCTGAAGGCCAGTTTGCCTAGTGAGTGAAGGAAAGTAATGTATAAATCAAGTTGGAAAGGTACATTGGAGCCAGACTGTGAAGAGCTTTGAATGCCAAACAGAGGAGAGCATACATTTGATCCTAGAGGCAATAAGGAGCTACTGTAGTTTATTGAGTAGAGGGGTGGCTGAGGCAGGTCTGTGCTTTAGGTAAATCACTTTGGCAGCTGTTAGGAGAAGTGATTGCAGCAGGGCGACCAATCAGGAATTACTGAATTGAAGAAACAGGAGGAACTGAAGAAGCCGTATAGTCCAACCCCTGAGCTGGGGGCTCTCCCCTACAGCATCTCCGCTTAACCACCTCCAGCAATGGGAAGCTCTGGCCCTCTGTCTTTCCTTCTATGTCCA